AATAAATGTATGCATGCATGCAATTGTAAAGGTGTTATGTAATAAAGACGAGAGATACGTAAGAGACTGAGTGACTAATAAACTAGGTGACAATGTACTGAATTCAACTCAAATCATAGGAACAAGGGACAAGCGAAATTACAAATTCTAAAAAAAGTGTGAGTTGGAAGCCAAAGATTACGTAATCGAATAAAGGAAAGAATAAAGACTTCCAGTTACCAGGGCAGGCAGCCAGAAAGACAAGATATCGCATCTGGTCACTTCTATGCGTATACATCACTTCACTTGTCCATGTGGACCTAGGTATATTTGTCATCCCAGGCATATCTCGTCTAAAAGGATTCAAGAATACTATCCCTTCAGCTTGCAGAAATATAGCTGAGGCTCCATATGGACAGGGATGATTGGTCTTATCATCAACAATGGTGATTCTGTTTCAGAAAAATCCATTTTCAGAGTGATCTGCAAAATGAAGAGTAACTTGCCAGTGTTTATGTGCATTCACCTCCTTCGCATTGGTGGAGCTTTAGTCATCCATACTAAGCAATTACTTTGACTACAATGGGAATGGCTCCGTTGTTTTCAATCAATTTTGGTTTTGATTTTTTAAACTATTTCTAACACTTCTATTCCGCCCAACTTTTACGTAGTAATATTACATCTTCCATCATTCCAATATGCTTCCAGATTACAACTCTCTCAGCAAAATTGTCTAATTACGTAACTCCCTCCGCATTATCCCCTGTCTTCATATATATTGGTCAGTATTCATAATTATGATTAGGACAAATCATCTCTTTTGTCACTCTATTCTTTTTTGGGACATAAAAATTAGACATAAATTTGATTGTTTGGCTAAAGAAAATGATAGTGCTGAACTTGGAAGTGGCAATGTTGTCAACCTATTGGATAGTCCTTAACGTCAGCACCTACTAAACTTGCTCTCCTTGGGTAACCCCAATCAGTACTCTACCAAAAAGGATAAGTATCGATAAATTAACTCGAAGTAAAGAGGCTTGTGACTAGGCAGTGTGCTCAGATGAGGATTATATTTTACCACAGTTTTCAAATGTTAAATTCAATTAGATAAGAATCCTGTACACCTTATCTGTTAACTGGCTGTGGTAGCAAGCGCAAGATTGCATCTAATCATATCACAAAGAGGGAGCAAGCCATGTGCGAGTTGAACAGTGAAGGCGTGAAGCCATATTACATGAATGCATTAAAACAAAAGTTCATGCATTCAAGGTGCACTACAAAATTGTTTTGTTTTGTTTTTCCAATAATGGAGAAAATAAAAGACAAATTGAGCGAAGAAAATTTTCTTCATCGACGAAATCATCTTCAGAGGTTGTATGTGCAGTCGTATTTATACTTACCAAAAAATATTTCTCTTTCTTTCACGTTCCCCAGTGGAACATAGGGCTTCAAGCTAGTGGCTTGAAGTTTCTGTAACAGTGTTTATTTTACAGGATGGGGTTGCTAGCCTGCCTCATGCCCAACCTTTCCTTTTTACCAGCATTATTTCTGGCTGAGTGAGACGAAGGAGTGCGCCGGAAGAGGATCGAACCCCGGACCATGTGCATGGTCGGCGAGCATCCTAACCGCTATGCCACCGACGCACAAGACCGACCAAAAAATATATACTGGTCTATTATTGAGTAATATTGAGGGGGGGTGGTGACATAATTGATATAATTACTCACAAAGTGGCTTTAGAAGTAAAAAATAAAAGTTTTAAATTACGTGGCACTCAACGGCTTGTCTGACTTGTCTGAGTCTGAGGGTGTGGAAATGTACAAAAGCAGCATATGTGAGTGATCATAGTGAATTAATTATTAAAGTAAAAGCAAACTTAAAGTAAATTTAAAAATCAAAAGAGGAAAGAAAAAAATCAAAATTTCTTTTTACAGGGAACGATTAGGGAAGAGGTTAACACCAAGGTAGAATAAGAGACTGGACAAACGTTTTTTGCATACAGAGTTCAGGGTTGTATTGATGAATTGCCAACGCCTCCGCCATACACAAATGCCGAAACCTGACGCCCTTTGTACCATTTGGCTTCACTTTTTAGATGATCTTGAAAAACAACTTTGGTGGAGCTACCTAGCCTGAGTTCACTAAATGCTTGAGAATAGAGCTGGTGATTGTCTTGCACATTCCCTTTGCTAAACATGCCGAGTAATGTTCAGAGATGCTTTTGGAGTGTGTGCGCTTTGTGCGGCCAATATAACCAGCTCCACACGAGCAGGTGAATTTATCAACACACATTGAGGTGGCCGGTCCAAAGCGGCAGTTTATCCTTCACACATCCATTGATCATTTGTTGATTGGAGAAATTGATCCGTAGGTCAAGGTGAAAAGTAGGCTTTCCTAATGCGATCTGCATAACCAGCGATTCTTCAGGATCTTAGCTGCATTATCATCTTTACATTCAACGCTCATAAATAGCAGTATTTTCCCCACCGTCTGGGTTCTTTCAAACTTTTTCTTTTAACTTCACATTTTTCTGAATAAACCTTGGGGAATATCCATTCTCTACGAGGATTCAGACAAGTCAGACAAGCCATTGAGTACGACTTAATTTACAACTTTTAATTTTCACTTTTAAAGCCACTTTGTGAGTAATTATATCAATTATGTCACCCTTTCGCCTTATACTCAATAATAGACGAGTATGTATTTTTTGGTAAGTATAAATACGACTGTGTACAGCCATCCTGTGAAGATGATTTCGTAGGTAGAGAAAATTTTCTCCACTGAATTTGTCTTTTATTTCCAATAATGACTGAAATTGGGGAATTATTCATGAAATTAAATTATAATTCTATTTAATGATATTTTCTCTTGTGCAGAAAATACCAAAACTACTTTGAGATAGACGTAGGCAAAATTGTATTTGAGCAGAAGTTAGATAGTTTGGAGTAATGGATCTCCTGGATACAGATAGGTTTGAGCTAAATATATGAACTCTGAACTCATAGATAAAATTATGGTCTCGATTTAAAGAAATAATAATAGTGATCGGTCAATTGCATAGATCACATTAGTCGACTAGGGGTCATTTAGGTCGTTATAAAATAGGTGGATACAAAAGTGTTTATTTGCAACTTAGTGTTCCTATATAGCCGAATGATGTACACATTGCATCTTCAAATCATCATTTGTGCACAGATCTTCCATGTCTTGTGCCTGCTACTTCTGGCCTTCCTTCATATTTTGTATGTTTCTTTGTGTTCCTATCATGTTTCCCATGAATCTCTGCAAAGCTGTTTCATTTGTTTTCTCTAATATTGAATCTATCTCTCTGTTGTTTGACTTTTTTCATGCCGATGATTGTCTGTTTATATACTACTGATAAATTTTATCAGTAGCACACCTCATAATGGGAACATAGGAATGTAGCTAGATGTAGAATAAGGGATCCTACAAAGTTAAATAATCTGGGAAAAAAAGTTACGCCGTTGCAATGCATTCACTTATGCTTAATTACAAAACAGATTAGGATCAGATCAAATCGCTACACTACGGGTCATCATTGATTAGAGCTTGGAATGACAGTGAGCTCTCTATTTTAACTTCATTGACTTTGAAAAGGCCTTCAACAGCGCCACTTGAGAAGTGATTTGGCAACTACTTCGCTAATATGAGGTGCCACCAACAGTTATACATCTCATCCAACAGCTATGCGACAATGCTGCATGCCAAGTAATCCACAACGGGAAACTTACGAAATCCTTCGAAGTGAAGACGGGAGTGAGACAAGGCTGCCTACTATCGCCAATGATTTTCCTGATTTCGGTAGACTGGATAGTGCGACAGACAGTGGGCAGCAGGGAACCAGGCATAAAATGGTCCCTCACAAAAAACTTGGAGGATATGGACTTCCCTGATGATATATCTCCGATTTCTCATAAACTGGAAGATGTGCAAGTGAAAATCAACAAGTTGACAGTAGAAGGATGAAAGACAGGCCTACATTTCAGGTGAACATAGAGAAAACAGAAGTGATGAAGATTCCTGGGCAAAACCAACAGCAACTACAACAGACGGCAATACGCATAAATGGGAGGAATCTAAGAGAAACAACCTCCTTTACCTACCTACCTACCAAACTAGGAAGCATCATTTCAACTACAGGCGGAACTGACGAGGATATCAAAGCCAGAATCGGAAAAGCAAGATAAGCTTTCATTACTCTCAAGTCTGTGTGGAGGTCAACAGCATTCAGCATCAAAAATAAGATCCGGATTTTCAACTCGAACGTGAAGTCACTGCTACTTAATTCACGGATCAGAGACTTGGCGCATCATAAGAGCACCTCAAACAAACTACAGACATTCATCAACAGCTGTCTTCACTTAATACTTAAGATCAGATGGCCAGAAAAAATCAGCAATAGGGATCTCTGGCAATGAACGAACCAACCCAGCAGGATCCGATTGTGCGACAAACATGCAGGAAGAAATGGAGGTGGACTGGCCATACCCTGAGAAAACCTTTAAGTGACATCACTAGACAAGCCAATGCTCGAGTGGAACCCGAAAGGGAAGCGGCGAGTTGGTTTTTAGTGCGAGGGTGACAAGAAGGAAGTCATGTGAAGGGGAAATGAAAGCATGTGGGCAGACTTGGAGACAAGGGGAAACTCTAGCAGAGAACCGAACACAATGGAGACACGCGGCTGAAGCCCTATGTTCCTCTAGGAATTAAAGGAAATAATTATAATAATACTTAGGCCGTATTTTCCATCCAGAACGCAAGAATGAATAAGTGAAGTCTCCAAAAGCTTACCAAGAGGGCAGTGAGCCCCCTTCACATTTTCTGTAAGAGTAACTTAAGATATATTCGGCTACACTAGTCTCTTCCGGATGTCTGAATGTTTCAGTATTTATAATAATAAAAGCGTGCGTAGTAATAAAAAATAACAGAGTGCTACTTTATAGTTGGGGTAAATTTAGCAAACTTCTTTTTATTCAATAGTAGTACTCTTTTGCACTCACTTTTGTTTCGCTTCAATATATATCTCCTGTTCGTTAGCATAATTCCCAAAAGTTGTCAAAATTTTCAATAAAATCAAAAGAATATTGAAGGTAATAATCATTTTTCAAGAGAGAATATTCCCCGATGATTCTTTATGAAAATGCAGAATTATAACCCGGAAAAAATGCTATTTCCACTACTGTAACAACAATATAATATAATGTATCTCCCAAAAAATGCTATTAAATGCTATCGTTCTCCAGTGGAATCGTAGAGATAGAGAATTTTGACTAGTCTTCTAATTTATCGATTGTTTTCCCCAATGCCTATCCAACATCAATGTTTGTCTACGGCTGTTTTAAGTCTACTCTATTTTTCTGATTGGTCAATCAATACTTGCAACAACCAATCAGAAATGAGATCACGTGATTTTGGCTTGAGGATTTTCTTTTCTCTCTCTCTCTTCTACTCCTACAAAAATGTTGATTCATTTAGGTTTGGTTAATGAATGCAAAAAAATGCCCCTATCGTCTGTGTATTTATGTGTGTGTGTGGTTTTTCTAAAAACAGTCGACCTATTTAGACATGTGCCTATTTAGAGAATAATTTTCGTCACAGTTTAGTACATATTCTCCTAAGTTTTTGGTATTTATCGACACTGTATAACAGGAATGGTGATATTAACCTACTGAAGCTTAGGTATTAGGATAGTATTGAAAAGTAAGAAATTCCTGGAGGGAATACACTTAGTCCCTCAACCTTTCATTCACTCACACACATAAACACCCTCTCTTCCTCTGTACAAGTGAGTTGAGTTTTAGGGTAATTTATTGTATTTAATTGGTGTATAGTGACTAGCAGTGGAATCCAGGATAAAACGCATTTCGTCCTGGGTTCAAGCCTCGTTGGGAACATCATCACTCACTGAGAGATGCGGGTACATCCAGCCACCAACGAGTCCAAAATAGGACGAAATGCGCTTTATCCTGGATTCCACTGCTAGTCACCATCCACCAATTAAATTCTAATTAAATGCCCAGACATCGTCAAAGCATCTGCACAAGAAGCCAACAGACATGTCAACCTGAGACCAAGCACTTTTATCTAATCAATCGATGGGAAAATCTAAAATTCAATTAAATTTATTGTATAATACATTGTTGTGTATTGTGTCATGACACAGAATTTTGCAAAACTTGTTATTATTTGTCGTTCCTTGGGGATTTAAAATACCGAAAGCTTGCTGTAACCAGAAATTCTGGTAATGAAGAAACCCAACGTAGACACATCGGACATTGAGGACACTGAGGACATCGTCGATTGACTTCAAATTGAAGTATGCATTGAAGATGTAGCCTAGTAAGACAATGAAACCATCGCAAATAAACTATCCAGCTCAGTGAACACAACCACATCAAAAGTGACATCACAAGGCAGACGTAATCTCGAGTGCAATCCAAATGTGAAACGACGATATGGTCCAAAGACCGAGAAAATCATGTGAGATGAGAGCTTTTAGGTGGTCACTTAGCTTGCTAAAAAGAACTCCAGAAAACATAACTAAATGAAGATGTGCTATTGAAGCCTTATGTTACACTTGGAACCTGAAGGGGTTAATAATAATAATAAGCTTTCTGTTATTCGATAAGTGATGGTCAACCGTGAGATTCAAGACATAAGTTTCGCCCTGTTTGAAATCTGTCTGTCGGCTGGATATGTACTTCAATGTTTCCCCTATTGAAACTCAAACGTTTCAACCATAATTTTAAACACTCAGGCTGTTAAACTAATAACAACCTAGTTCTGAGTAGGTTGAAACCACTGTCATTATGGAAGCTTACATTCCCGGAGTAAATATGCTAACCTAGAATGATCATTTTGTTCTCGTAAGGATTAAAGGAAGGAATCTCACAAGTTTTGAAACTCCCAGACTTTTGTGGTCTTATAATCCAGGTGATGTTGGCCCACTGCATATTTTATATTTTCTGATTATAGCTTGATTCCACACCGTTCTTTTGGTACAAGTATGAAATTTTCAGCATGTGATATCCGTAGCCCAAAGTTTGCAGGGGCCGATCATTGATATCAGTTTTGCATCGGCAGGGGATAGAACCCTGTACCATGTGCATGGTCGGCGAGAGTCCTAACCGTTGTGTCACAGATGCACACTGTGCAGCTTTCTATGAGGTTTTGTTCGGGTTGAGTGTAAAGCATTGTAAACGTGACAAGGCTTCATAGAAGTTAGGACATGCATTATTTAATCGATGTCCAAAACACTGCCATTTTCCTCAGTGCACTCTTTGTGTTTTCTACGAATTGTATCAATCAGTACCAAAGTAATGTTCTATCACGAGCATGCATCGATAAGAGATCCTGCAGACACATTTCTGGTCAAATCTTAAACTCGTCTTCAGGACAGCTTGGTTACAAGGTGAAAATGTTTCCATTCAACCACTGAGTTAGAGCCTAATAACTGTTGACTTATGACCTATGTTGATTCGCCATTCATGCTGCCATTACCTTAAGTAAAAAACTATCCACACCTACAAACTGGTGTACCTCACATGTAATGGATGAAACTTTTCCAAACTTCGAGAAATTTACCTTTCAGCTGGTAATTACTAGTTTTCGAACTGAAGATCTAAAGCCAAGATGGTGATGTATCTCAGTCATTCTCAGAAGTCCGAAATTTCAAGTGTTATTTCTAGTCACTACAGGTTTAAATTTTTGCCTGTCGATATAAACTGTCTTTCTAAAAACGCCTGACAATAAATGGCATAAGAGTATACGCTAAACAGTATATATATATATATTCAAGTGTTGGTTTGTAGGGATTTGATTGATTTCAGGATTTCATCATGAGCTGACATTAGTTAGAGAACCATTGGAAAACCTGGGAGTACTGGACAGCTGTTTCGTCCTAGTTTGGGGCTCTTCAGCAGTACGCACCCACTGGGATTCGAACCCAGGACCTTCCGGTTACAAGGCGACCTCGTATACCATTAAGCCACTGGGACCCGATCCAACGGTCCTTGAATTCTAACTTCTGCCAACTTCTGGATCGGGTCCCAGTGGCTTAATGGTATACGAGGTCGCCTTGTAACCGGAAGGTCCTGGGTTCGAATCCCGGTGGGTGCATACTGCTGAAGAGTCCCAAACTAGGACGAAACAGCTGTCCAGTACTCCCAGGTTTTCCAATGGTTCTCTAACTAATGTCAGCTCATGATGAAATCCTGATATATATATATATACCAAGGACCTATTACTATGAAATATCCTGAAGAAAGTGGAGATGGATTGGACACATGGTGAGAAGACCGTCGGGGGACACCCTCAAGTGGAACTCAAATAGGAAATTACAAGTTGGTCGTGGGTCTGAGAGTGACATGAAAAAGATCATGTGAGCAGGAGATAACATTCAGTGAGCAATCATTGGAAAGGCTTAATGGAAATGCGGAGAACAAGATAAAGTGGAGATGTGCTGTTGAATCCCTACGTTCCAGTCATAACCCAAGGGAATAATTTATTAGCCGATAATAAGCCCGAATAACAGGGAATTTCGGGTGTGGGGCTAACGACTACACATCATAAAACACTCCCATCACTATGGAAACTTCACAGCACAGTAAAAATTAAATCGTCCTTCTCAAGAATTGGCAAAACGTCTTAATTTGAAGATGAATGACTCCGGCTGGTGGGAACCTACAGGAAGCTTGTCCCATGATAAGCAATCCTTGAGTGAAAGCTGAAGTAAGCGCAAAGAGAAGAAGTGTACACACCATGTGCGTCAGTGTCACAGTGGTTATGCATCTCGTCTACCATGCACATTGGCCGGAGTTCGAACCCACGTCGACGCACACATGATATCAAAGGTCGACCTGCAGAAGGTGTTCAACTGATATCACACGCTGAAAATTCCATTCAAACTAACTAACTAACTAACTAACTAACTAACTAACTAACTAACTAACTAACTAACTAACTAAATAACTAACTAACTAACTAACTAACTAACTAACTAACTAACTAACTAACTAACTAACTAACTAACTAACTAACTAACCAACTAACTAACTAACTAACTAACTAACTAACTAACTAACTAACTAACTAACTAACTAACTAACTAACTAACTAACTAACTAACTAACTAACTAACTAACTAACTAACTAACTAACTAACTAACTAACTAACTAACTAACTAACTAACTAACTAACTAACTAACTAACTAACTAACTGACTAACTAACTAACTAACTGACTAACTAACTAACTAACTAACTAACTAACTAACTAACTAACTAACTAACTAACTAACTAACTAACTAACTAACTAACTAACTAACTAACTAACTAACTAACTAACTAACTAACTAACTAACTAACTAACTAACTAACTAACTAACTAACTAACTAACTAACTAACTAACCAACTAACTAACTAACTAACTAACTAACTAACTAACTAACTAACTAACTAACTAACTAACTAACTAACTAACTAACTAACTAACTAACTAACTAACCAACTAACTAACTAACTAACTAACTAAATAACTAACTAACTAACTAACTAACTAACTAACTGACTAACTAACTGACCAACTAAATAACTAACTAATTAACCAACTAACTAACTAACTAACTAACTAACTAACTAACTAACCAACTAACTAACTAACTAACTAACTAACTAACTAACTAACTAACTAACTGACTAACTAACTGACTGACTAACTAACTAACTAACTAACTAACTAACTAACTAACTAACTAACCAACTAACTAACTAACTAACTAACTAACTAACTAACTAACTAACTAACTAACTAACTAACTAACTAACTGACTATCTAACTGACTAACTAACTAACTAACTAACTAACCAACTAATTAACTAACTAACTAACTAACCAACTAACTAACTAACTAACTAACTAACTAACTGACTAACTAACTGACTAACTAACTAACTAACTAACTAACTAACTAACTAACTAACTGACTAACTAACTAACTAACTAACTAACTAACTAACTAACTAACTAACTAACTAACTAACTAACTAACTAACTAACTAACTAACTAACTAACTAACTAACTAACTAACTAACTAACTAACCAACTAACTAACTAACTAACTAACTAACTAACTAACTAACTAACTAACTAACTAACTAACTAACCAACTAACTAACTAACTAACTAACTTACTAACTAACTAACTAACTGACTAACTAACTGACTAACTAACTAACTAACTAACTAACTAACTAACTAAC